GTTCTTGTTACTAGCCATGCTACCTCTCCAGACATACGGGAGCTCACTGGCTTCTTTTGAGCCCTCTCCGTACTACAAACCTTGTGGGATCGAATAGAGTGGAGAGAGCCACTAGATCACAGCACTCGAGACCAAGGATAGAAAGGATCTCAGTGCTGCTCGACTTTGAACTTAAAAGTCTAAGATTTGGGTGCGGGAGCCAAAATATTTAAGATCGCCCAAGAGGGGGTAAAATTGGTGAATATTTTTTGGGATCCCATTTCAGATGAGCGCCGCCGCAGCTGCCTAGATCTGCAGACTGTGCTCTGGTGTATGGCGTCTAAATCAAGTGAAGGACTCACAAGAGAAATCGCTCGACTGTGGAGAATGCCTTCAGACCCTCAGGACCAGCGACTCCTCACCTCTAGTTCTACCAATACAGTACTCGTGCGAGTACAGTGCTGTAACTCCAACCAGTGCCCTATGGTGCACTAACCCTGTCAAATATCCAGGTGTGTTAGTAAAAATCGGAAAACTGATATTTATTTTGATCCCATGTGCAGGCACCAGGAGAGATGCAAAATGACCCTTGCCTTGTACTCGAGTACGAAAACGACTCCCTGGTATTTATAAACCTCTTTAAAGGCAAGCGTTATGTTTCCCGATTTTTGCGGACACATATGAACACTCACGGCGCCGGTTTGCTCTACCGTTTCCTATCGTGGTATGGCCCCTTCTCGGATGTTTCAGCCAATAGGATAAGTGAAGCAGCCGCAGTTGCAGCAATGGCGAAGTGGTGAAGGACACCTTAAAACCGAATAGTAACACTAGCTACCTCCAATATGTGCGTGGAGCAAAGAAATTTAAATTGAGTTCTTAAACTCTAAGTTACATCAAAATTATCATTCTCACCACGAATGATACATCTGCTAAGTTCCTCATGAAAGTTTGTTGGCTTGTTGGTAAGGCCTTTCAGATGCCCTGGTGGTGAGGCCCTTTATTGTTGATGGTATAATAATCCCAGTAGTAGATCGTTGTATTAGCAGTACCGAGGAGCGCAAGTAACAGGAAGCGCAATACTTGTAGTATGGAGGAGCACTAGGGCATGAACGGATAAGGGTACGAGCGGAGATAGGGCTGTAAGAACATACACCTAGACTATCCACTTCTATTCTCCCAACTCCCCCAGAGAATTTATGGAGGTGTCACGATGGTGTGTAGGTGTTGGTGAGAGGAGATGTCGAACACGTCCTAGGTCCTTGAGGTTCAATAGGGGTCCTCAGACCTTAGACGGATTTTGGATAGGTTCGGAATGGAAATTTGTCATTAACGCTAATTGGTTGAAATTCTGATATGTGACCGAGCTGAACCCAACCGAACCGATCTTCCCATCCAGCAAGAGTAGGAGATGGGAGGGTTGCGAGCTAAGAAATGTAGTTCTGGTAGTTCTCAACCCATCCACTACCAACCATCCCGGATTCAGGATCCTCAAACCTTTTTCTGGGATCGCTCATTTTATTGGCTCCTTGGTTGACACACAATCAACCCACCCCGAACCGATCCAAAACCCATCCAAGGGTTTGAGGACCGCAAATGTTTTGTGAGCGAGGTTGCAACCGTCCCCCGATGCATTTTACTAGCCAAAAAAAAAGCTCGAGGATGAGCGATAGTCTATCAATAGGAAATAACAGAGCAAATCGGCACTGTAAGTCAATTAGCTAATTTACTCGAGTACTCGAGCACAGTGTTACTGTATGAGTACGTCGCAAACCACCTACCGAACTCCTGTCGCACCATAAATTGTGATTTCTTGTGAAGCAAGGATATGATGAATACCCATAGTCTTGGCTGACGTAACATGACGAACATCCGAACCAAACCCTCAAAACCCTGTCTCTGTCCGCTCCCTATCAGCATCTGCTCAAGCACCGAGAATTTAGAAATTCTTAAGGAACAAGAGCAAGTCGGGAAAAAAAGGAAAAAAAAAGCTGGTCCTTATACCATAGACCCATCTTGGGCTATTGTGACGGCATCTTCTCCAGACTGGGTAGTGATCACTTGAATTGTTATTGGTTTTCAGGATCAGCTGTTGGTATTGAAGGTAAGAACGGGTCTTGGGTGCAAAGCTTTACCTCGAGCTAGATATTTTTTTCACTAATTCCGCAATTGAGAATACTTAGATATCGAAGACCTAAGGGCAAAAAAAATTGCACTTCCTTTCGTTCCTCAGGGGTTCTTGAGCTCGCAATTACTTGACACGAAAAATCCTGGATTTCTTTGACGGGCCAAGCACGCATCATACCTTATCACACGTGCCAATAGTATGTCATAAGTCTTGGATTTCGTAGACGAGAATGTGTCTTGGTATAAATAGGCCCCATGCACTTTTATGTAGAAGGGAGGTTAGCTACAGTATTTAGTAGGCCATCACTGCCCTCCACCTCAGCAATCGAATTAAAAAAACTGCGATGTCTGGCTTCCTGGGTCGCCTCCGGCGTGGTGCTTCACCGGCTGCTGAGAAGCGTATGCATCCAGCTACCCCCCGAGCGAGCACTACAAATCCTAATAGCCTAGAACGGATCCATACCGGGACGACCGCTGCGGGGAGAGATGTAGAAGCTGGGGAGGAGTACGAGGGCTGGGTTGATCCATATGGAGGCCCACCTACGATTAAGCAGTGGCTTAAGTGGTATTGGCATGATGTGTTTGCGTAGGCCCCCTGCACTCCAGATTCAACTCGATGAACGCAGAATTGATAGCGGTATAGATTCATCTTTTTGGGCGCGATTTCGTTATGGCTTCTTATGTGGAGTCCAATTCCTTATCGGAAGCTATTCGCTGTGACAGTCAATCCAGGAAAAAAAGTAGATGGGTGGGTGCTCTCTCTGGATCTAGCCTTCAATCAAATATAACTAACCAACCCAATCAGTTCCTCCGAGATCATAAACCCTTCTTTCGCCTACCCGAAACGCAAGCAAGTCATTCCCATCATAGCCGACGCCATGATAGCAGTCTTCGTCCCCATAATCTCTATAATCCTCATTAATATCTTCGGAATCGCGACCCACGGCCCACAGGGGAAGCGTCTACGCATGACCGGCAAGCATGGCGGTGCCCTGCTAGGTCGCGGGTCTTTCTGGAACGTCAACAACGGCTGCATGGGCGTAATCTACTCCGTCATGACCGGGGCTACCCTACAAATCATCATAAAGTTAGTGATAGGAGGGCTGAGGCCACACTTCCTCACAGTCTGCGATCCTCAAATCGACGGTGTTCAAGGAATGGGATATGGCAGGTTATATTTCGACACAAGTGTCTGCAGAGACCACACAGATCCCAAAAGGCGAGACGAGATCGCCAACGCGATGCAGAGCTTCCCATCCGGCCACTCCATCGCCGCCTGGGCCGGCCTCCTCTATCTAAGCCTCTACTTCAATGCACACCTAAAGATATTCTCAAACTACCATCCCTCGTACTGGAAACTTCTCCTCTTCATCGCTCCCATGCTGGCTGCCACGCTTATCGTCGGCTCACTAACGCTGGACATGAGCCACAACTGGTACGACATCATCGTCGGCTCAGCATTAGGGGTTGTTATGGCTATTCTCTCATACAGGATGTGCTTTGCCGCGGTTTGGGACTTCCGCTTCAATCACATCCCGCTCGCTCGGGATCCGCGGATCCCGGGGTTCAGTTACAGCATCGAGGAGTTGGAGGATTGGAGCGGAGGGTGTGCTACTAGAAGGGGAGGCTGGGGTATTGCGAGACAGTATGCGACATTTAATCATGGGTGGGGTGCCCCGGGCGATTGCGCATTCCAGAGCGCTGGGGTGAGTGCTGGGTTGGCGGGTGTGGATTCTCCGGGCGGATGGAGGCACCGTCGCCATGACCATGAATGCTCGAGTAGAATGCACAACGAAGGGAGTGCGGCGAGGGAGCCCGCTGTTTAACTCCAGAACTAAAAATTTGGTGTATATTTCCTTGAATGTCACTTTTGTTTCTCCCCTTTCTAACTTCATCGTTCCATCTCATTTCACAAGACTACAAATGATACCCGTTCGTTCACCACCTTCTGATCTTTCATTCCTATATATCCCCTGCCCCGCTATACATACACCCATCCATCCTGTACCTTAATACCAAATAAAATACCGCGAACGAAGGACTACTACACTCACAATTACCTAACGCTCCCTCATCCTCCTCCTTGACAGACATTTGGGCATAACAGGGCCACCCTTCTCCTACGTATAGCCGATGGTACCGAGAAAACAAAACTCCCACTCACCATGCAAGACACTCACCCGAACATCCGACACAAGCCCAGGTTAGAAAAAAAACTAACCCCCACTATTTATCACGTACATCCTGCCGGATCAGGGAGCTTGACTAGTGATTCATGCATTGTCACTCGGGATTCGGAGTCGGGTGAGGCGGGGAGTGAAGGCCGCAAGAAGAGTGAGCAAACACCAATAACGGTAGGTGTACATTGCCGTTTTGTTTGTTGGTTAGGTTGTGCCTGTGTATCGTTTGCGGTAGAGGTGGATCTGTGGATCGGCGGATCGGCAGTGACTAGAAATATAGGGTCGGTTTTCTCTGCGGTGGAGGGATGGATGTTTGGGGAAGTTGGCGTCTTCTGAGATTCTAGATGTCGGTAGGAGATACGCAGTTTGGAGGGGTACGAGCTCCGAAAGGGCATGTTGAAGCCGCTTTTCGGAAGGGCTCCGAGGGTTCGTGTCTGTCTGTCATTTTCCATAGGAGAGGGATTATCCCCCGTTCTCTTGACGGCTGTGAATACCTGCACTGATGGGTTGCTCGTGATGAGCCGCTCCTACAGTCCTAACCCATGATTCAACCGCAATGCCGTCTCGTCCAAATTTCACCGTTGAGCAAAATAGGAACCGCAGATCCGGCATTGCCCTAAACGACAATACAGCAAGTCTCGTAGCGACAGCGCCAAGTAGCTAGGCGAGGGTGAAGGAGGCGTCAGTACAAAAAAAGGTTCAGAGAACAAAAAGATCCGACAACGACAGGATTTGAACCTGTGCTCGCGAACGAAACAGATAACTAGAATTTTAGGTATTCGAGTCTGTCGCCTTAACCACTCGGCCACGTTGTCTTGATGTTTGTATTCTACTTCGTACATATATATAATAAATCTTTATTTGTGATCCCACATTGCTTACCTAAACTCTGTTTCACAAACCCCCACTGCGACTCTACCGCTCTTATTCTCCAATAGTAGTTCTAAATTCAGATCTTTACCAGCCCTCGCTCATCCTCAGTGCTACCATATTACTTTTCGCTCGTTCGCCCTTCCAGTTTGTTTCATTCAGGAGGGTTACCCTGCCTTCCCTGACGTCGACTGCTGCTGGAGACTCCTTTTCAACAACGTTTCCCCCAAATCTAATAGTCATGGGATCGAAAGCTTCAAGGCTACTAGGCGCCTCAAGCACTCGAAAATACCCCACTCGGGCGCCACAAGTAACAGAATCACCTTCCTACCAGGCGCATGGCCCAGTGCAGGCCAGCCACAATAAAACTCAGGGTATGCATAACAGCACCAACTCAAAGGCGACATCCGATAATTTCTCGGAGCTGTTGCTCTTTGTGCCTAAAAGATAAAAGGGGAAAACACGACTAATCAATGGGCTGTAGATATTCTACGCGATGCTCAGGATCCAGACTACCAGAGTATGCTGAGAAGAGTGGGAGTCGCCGAGATATTGGGCCCTGCGAGAAACGTAGCTGTGAGCGAGAAGGTGAGTGAGCATGTCAAGTTGGATGAGTTGCAAGGATGGGATTGGGGGCCTTTTTTCCTTTTTTTCTTCCATGGTTGTGATTGTTGGTGGGAAATTCAAGTGATGCTTTGTTGTTGAATTGTTAGACTGACAAAGTGATGTGTGGACGGGGAGAGTTGTAGAGCTCGAATTCTCTTCATACGATCTCCCGTCGCCAGGCGCTCCACGACCAGCAGCAGATAGAATCTTCGAGTAAGCAGGGCCGAGACAGGCGTACGTGGGTCGACACGTCGACGATATTTGAGATACTGAAGCTTAGGGATGAGAAGAAGTGGGTGGCCGAGCGCATCGAGAAGGAATTGGGGTTAGCGCCTGGTCTTGTGCATAGGTTGGGGGATAGGGTTGGGAAACCATGAGTATGGATGAGAAGCAGCGTGGTGCGAAATGGTCAGTTAAGGCTGTGAGCTCAGCAGAAAAAAAAGAAAAAGGGTTCGCATGAAATTGTGCGACTTATCAATCCCCTCGTAATTGAGCGACGTTTGCGAACGTGACTGCTATTGCACACCGCAAAAATTCGGCCTCCTTGCTTAGATCTTAGTGCATGCAATAGCGGTCGTATCCGCAAACGCGCTCAACTGCAAGCATATTGGTCCAGTCAGTGGCTAGCCGATACTCTTGGTGTGTAGCGCAATTTTACACTCTTTTCTTTTGATTACCTCTCAGAAGAAAAGTCATCATGTACCTTTGTTAATTCGGGGACCAGATCCTTCTTTTCTATAACCCCGAAAGCAGTGAGTGTCCAGTGGGAGCACGTTCCACGCGTGCACATTTCGATAGGACCAGGGGGAAAAAAG